TGCGGGCATTGCCGGCGGCGCCCCCGGACGGCCCTGACGCCGCAGCTGCCTGCTCGGCGGCGGCCGGCGCGAGTGAGTGCCAGGGGCCGGCAGGCAGGGGGCGGGCCCAGGCCGCGTCACACGGTAGCAACCAAGCAGTGTGAGTGCGCGGGCTGCGCGGGCGGGCACCGAGCGGAGCGAGCCTAGCGGCGCCACACTCACTCGCTTTCGCACCGGCGCGCACGCCGGCCCGGGACCCCGCGCGCACTCACACCGGCGGCCTGGGCTATCCGGGCTCCCGCCACTCGCACACCCTTACAGGACAAGTGGGGAGCGGAGCAGGGACCTCCGGGACCCACATACGCACATTCCCGCGCGTGCCAGCACAGGCTAGGCTCCGTTCACTCTCACAGGACACACACAGGTGTGCAAAGACACTCTGAGCTTACACAAACGTGTGCAGAGACAGTTGGGGACAGTGTCCACTTGCTCCCATCTGCAAGACACACACACAACAGGCATGCATACAGAGTTTGTGGAGGATGCTGTGGGCACCAACCCCAGCACACACACATCTAACAGAACACACAAACACACATGCATAGAGTTGATCGAGGATACCTAGGCACAGCTTCCCATGCCCCTCAGCACAACTAGAAGGACACACAGCCATACTACCAGGACGTGTACACTTTCCACTGTACTAGGACATACCTGGCACTATCTGTTCACACATCCTCCCCAGTCACACACAAACAAGAGTCTCTGTAACATCAAGTCAGTCCCTTACTCCATCAGTGATGGGCTTGAAGGGCCCAGCTTGCCGCATGGCACAGGGTGAGTGACATCATTGACCACAGCTGGAGTCATGATGGAGTGAGGGTCAGCTGGCCTGGGCAGAAGAGACCTTCCTGGTGTCTGAATCAGGCAGAGGTGGAAAGCCAGGGTGTGGTCTGCCCACCTCTGAGGCTTCACACATGGTCAGATAACTAAACAAATCCCCGCCAGACAGCCCTGCCCAGCTGCCCTCTGTCTTTCCGGGAACCAGAGTTCTATTGGGAAAGGCCGCTGCTTACACAGGTGTGTAGCCAGAAAGCCCTGGGCCTGGATGGAGTCCTGTTTACTTTCTGGCTTCTACTGACATGTCAGGGACACTTATCTTTTTGGCTGAGTTACTTCCTGGAGTCTGAATGACGGACTCCAAGCCTGTGTCCTTCCACTCCAGCAGAGGGGTGGGTGCAGAGAGAAGAGCGAAGAGTCCTTGGCCTCATCACTTCCAGTTGCATGCATCTGGGTGGCTCATTTTATCTCTCTGAACTTCAGTTTCCTTAGCTGTGAAAGGAGCTTAACATCAACCCCAAGGCATTGCAGTGACCCCCTTCTAGCACAGAGCGTGGCAGGTAAGAGGTGCTCAAGGCTGGCTGTCCCACCTCCCTTTCCTTGGGAGGTGAGACTCCTGGTGAGAAATGATGGTGGGTCCTATGCTGTCTCATGATGAGTGCTGAATTGCATGGTGATGGTCATTACCCAGCTTTGAAAACCACGGAACACTGTGCCAAGAATGTTCACAACTGTCATTTCAGTGCTTCCCCATGAGCCCATTAGGTAGGCAGTCATACTCTTCCCATTTTGCAGGTGAGGAAATTGAGGTTCAGAAAGAGAAAGTGACTTGCCCAGAGTGTCAACTGGCTGGTGGCCGAGCTGGGATCAGAACCTAGGTGTCCTAGCTTCTTTGATGCTTCCAACCCCTGATGCCATCAGAACTCAAGGGAGTCAGAGCAAAGCTGGAAACCCAGGTAAAACCTAGGGCTTCTGGGACAGAAACTACATGAATAAAGAGGAGGGAAATGGAGAAAGAGAATGGGGGGCAAGAGCCTCAGGGGTCACAGGGGGTATGAACTGGCTCCAGGGCCCCTTAAGGACAATCTAGGACCCTGATGGGGAAAAAATGCAGCTCTCCCAAGAGTCAAAGGCTAAGGGAAGGATGGAAGAGCCTGGGAGGATAGCCTGACATAGTGGGTTTCTCATTTCCAGGAATGCTTAAGAGGATTAGTCCTTAAATAGGCACAGAAGTGACTTTTTTTGTGCCAGAGGTGGCTGCATCACCAAGTGATTATGTAATGATACGGAATATTAAAATATGGATGCCGAGCCATCATTTCATAATTCCTTCAAGAGAGTGCTGTCATCATTTTAAAAATGAGGAAACTGAGGCTTCTGGAAGACAAGTGACTAGCAAGAGGTAGACTGGGGACGACCCCAGGGCCCTTTTTTTTAATGAATCCAGGCCATACCCTTGTGTCTAGTGGGAGTGAGAAAGGAAGGAGGAGGCAGACCAGACTCCTCCCCACCTCTTAACCTTCTGTGGGTCTGGCTTCTGAGAGGATCGATTCATGGCTCTTGGCTCTGCAGGAGGGAACAGCTTCCAGAAGCATCAAGCCTGGGGAACCCCAGGACGTCCACTGAAGAAACGTGAGGCGTGTATGGGGTTCATTTCCAGCAGGTAGAGTAGTTGAGGGCCACTCTGAGATCTGCATGTGTCCATCGGGGAGTCTAGCGCAGATGGGGGGCTGCTCCCTGGAGGTAGAGCAGAGGCGATATGTGGGTGAGTACCCAGTTTCTAGAAAGAGCATGAGTCAGGGCGGACTTGGCATCAAATGCCAGTGTGCACCTCCTCCTAACTGTGTATAACCTTGGGCAAATGGCTTAACTTAGGCCTTAGTCTCACCTGTGAAATGGGGAGAATATAAATAACCTTGTGAGAATTAGATGCTAGTATAGCTCTGAAGTGCCTAGCTCAATGCCTGGCATGTAACAACCAGCTGCCATTGAGATGTTTCTGACTCATGGTGACCGCATGTGTTTCGGAGTAGAACTGCACTCTGTAGAGTTTTCAGGCCTTGGACCTTTTGGAACCAGATCACCAGGCCTTTCTTCTGAGGTGCCTTTGGGTTGGGTTTGAACTCCCAGCCTTTCTGTTAGCAGCTGAGGGCTTCACCATTTGCACCACCCAGGGCTCTGGCATGTAACAAGCACTCAGAAAATTGTAGTTTCCTTGTTCTTGCCTTCTTGGTGCAAACTATCACCCTACGTTCTGTGCCTGCCTCAGTTTCCTAGCTGTGAAATGCAGTTGGCTGCCCTCTCCCTGTCTGCTGCGAGGACCAGGTGAGAACACTAGGAAGGAAGAACATTGAGAAGTTAATGCACTTGCCAAGACTAGGGCAGTCGCTGGTGTCTGTGGGTTCTTAAAGCAGCTGGATGTGGCGAAAGCTCATCAATCATCTTGCCTTCCCTTCCCCATGCTGTGGTAGGTGGCTTTGCCCTTGGCCCTTGGCAAAGTTAAGTGCGAGTCAGCCTTTGGTCACAGTGCTCAGGATCCCTGTGACCTCACTGCTCCCCCACCTGCTTCTCCCACATGCAGAGCATCCTGCCCAAGGAGGTAGAAGTGTGCCCCGTCTGAGGAAGGTCAGGCATCTGCACCACCAGTACATCTATTCACAAAGCAGAGTTCAGCCCTCTTCCCCATATCTACTGTTCCAGATTCGGCAGCAGGGAACTGTGCTTTAGACAGCACCCCTGGGTTATACTCATGCCCAGTGAAGGCTGAGAGTTGCTGGGTGGTTGTTGTTCGGTGCCATCGAGTTGATTCTGACTCACAGTGACACAACAGAATGAAACACTGCCTGGTCATGTGCCATCCTCTCAATCCTTGCTAGGTTTGAGGCCATGATGTCAGCCACCGTGTCCATCCATCTCATTGAGGGCCTTCCCCTTTTTCGCTGACCCTCCACTTTAGCAAGTGTGACATCCTTCTCCAGGGAATGGTCCCTCCTGACAACATGACCAAAGCAGGTGAGACGAAGCCTGGCCATCCTGACTTCCAAGGAGCATTCTGGCTGCGTTTCCTCCAGGACAGATTTGTTTGATCTTCTGGCAGTCCAGGGCACTTTCTGTATTCTTCGCCAAACCCACAACTCAAAGGCATCAATTCTTCTTCATCTTCCTTGTTCATTGTCTGTCCAGCTTTCACATGCATATGTGGTGACTGAAAAGACCATGGCTTGGGTTAGGTGCACCTCGGTCTTCAAAGACACATCTTTGCTCTTCGGCATTTTAAAGAGGTTTTTTGCAGCAGATTTGCCCAGTGAGGGGAAAAAAAAATGCTGAGTTAGAAGGTGCTAAAGGATTAATACAGTGATTCTCAATCTGTTCTGCTGCCTCCACACACTGTTCACATGTGCAACACACACCCATCGCTAACAGCTGTCAATATTGAGTGATTCTTCACTGGGAGAGGAGGCCCGCTTGGGGGTGGGGTATTGGAATTTCTAGAGTGGTTTGGTCAAGCCCCACTGGGCCCCACTTTGGGTGTTGTGACCTCTTTCTTGGCTGAGAAATACCAGTTAAAGCCTTTCCTCCCAGAGGGTGACATGCATTTTAGAGGAGATGACCTCTAAGATGCACTTGGCTGGATGTCCTTGGTTGGCGTCTCTGGCTGGTGTCCACGTGCCCTCCCTGGCTCTAGCTTAATGTGCACCCCCAGTTTCCACCCTTTCCTGATTTCTGGAGAAGCTCTTGGCAAGCTGTGCACATAGAACTTTCTCTGTATTAATAGGAATTTTTAACCCAAAGGAGGAGCTGATGGAGGAATTCCAAACACGGTTGCTGGGTGATGGAAAGAGGCCTTCTAGGAGCTCTTGCCCATTCATTTATTCATGAATTCATGATTCAACAAATATTTATTGAGCACCTACCCTGTGACAAGCCCCAGGCTGCATTCTGCAGGGGGCCTGGTGGTGGATGAAGTCCCATCTTTCTTGAAATTCCAGTCGATGGTGGATCAAACAGGAAGGAGTGTTAGGAACCATTCACTCTGGCCGTCCTCGCCTCCTCCTTTGTGTGTACTGAGGCCTTGGCGTGGAGAGCTTGCTGGACCACTGACGTAAGCAAGCCAAATTAAGTGTTTGCAACATAGCTTGTGGCTGCTGAGAGGCCAACTTGATGTATTAAGCGATATTAAAAATGCAGCTCTTTCTGATAATTTATTATGCACATTCTCATAAACACATTACACTCGTCACAGTACATTTACTAGTGCCAGGCCTACCAGTGGGGAAAAGTTAACACTTACCTAATGATGTTGTTCTATGGATGTATGACACTCTGGAGCTGCAGTGACAGGCTAAATGGCTCTGAGAGATGCTTCTTCCTGTCCTGGACACCTGAAGAACAGTTTGCAGAACCCAGGGCTGTGAGCCCCTCACCTTACCACACCTTTTGCTCTCCAGATAAGGAAACTGGACGAGAGAGATGG